AAAAAATAACTGTGACGGTAAGATAAATCTAAAAAAGTTAATAGTTCTGTAAGTCTTCGGCAATGATGCTGGCCTCATTAGTTTTGCTGGACGTGCTCTAACTGAAAGCTCTTCGTCACTCCTGCGTTCCATATCGCGACTGAGTACGTTGTGTTACCCATCACTTGAAATTACAAGCCAGCTTAGATCAAGTACTTCTCGATATACTAAATATCTTTAGATACATCTTCGAACTTACTCGTTCCTTACTTCCGGCTTTGCTAGGTTTGAGACCCTTCGATTAAAAAGATGCTACGGACAGAAGCGTTGTCAATCTCTTGAAACCTGTGGCATTTTTATAGGTCAGTTAGATATGATCTGGCACACAAAATAATAAAATGAGTCTGTTCCTTGTTTTAACATTACATTTCCTGGTATTATTTCTGTTCTCAGATTCCTCACACATACATATTTTGCCCTTATTATGTTTGAACAATACACAAACTTTTAAAGGTTAGGATTCTCAAGCCTTCCACTCTTCAATTAATGCCCTTCTAGTCATAAAATTTCGAAGTCTGGTTCTTCTACGCAAAAGCTGACTTCCATGAGCACGACGTGACATACCCATGCGTACCATCCGTGACATCTCATGTTATGCAAACATAAATAATGCAAATTTAGAAATAATCTTTAAAGATAAATCTAAAAAATGGGTAGTTACGAATTACAATGGATAGAATTTCGAGTGATCTAACTACCATCATTACACTATTTGGGTCTTCCAGATGCTAACTATTTTATTTTTTGATCAAATTATTTTAGTAGGCTGTAAATCAGATTACTAACGGTCTAACTTCTTCAAATCGTTTTAAAAAGTGATGTCGTTGTTCACTGAGGGTCTTTATAGTCATTTCTGTGCTTTTGCATTACAAACTTGGACGTTAACCGACCCGGGTGGTAGTTGTAACCTAATGCTAACGATTGCCTAGGCCATACTGCGGGCGGTAAGGCTTTGAAAACTGATATAAATTACCTTGCATCTTTAATCCAAGCTCCTTCACCGACATACATCTCAACATTTAGATAACATATCGATTGTCTTCAGATTCATCCCCAACTTACTCAAATATCCTCGCCACCTTGCTTCGGTCTCTGACAATTGTATGAGAACAACAAAAACGAGAATAAAATAAGAAATACTTCACCCTTCTTAAATACTAAAGCTTTCCTCAGATCATTTCAGTTAACTGAAAAAGTCTATCGTCAATATCTGTAGTTAGTATCCTAATATGTACTTAATTATTTATGTCTGTTACTCCTCATGGAGGAGTATAGGCTGCCCATCAGCACTCTCAACCCTACTCTGCTCTGGGCAATCCTTCTCAATTCCTTCCAGTCGCTACTCATCCTTTTCATGTCTGCTTCCATTTCCCAACAAAGTGTGTTCTTCGGCCTTTTTCTCTGTTCCCCTTCACGTTTCCAAGTTCGGGATTGCCTCGTGATACAGTTTGGTGATTTTCGTAATGTGTGTCCTATACACTTCCAAACTCTTTTTCTAATTCCCTCTTCAGCTCGAAGCTGATTTGTCCTCTTGCACACTAGGCTGTTGCTGCTAATATCTGATCAACGGACATTGAGTATCTTGCGTAGACAACTATTTATAAATACTTGTACCTTCTTGACGATGATTTTAGTAGTTCTCCATGTTTCAACTCCATGCAGTAAGACCGTCTTGACGTTGGTATTGAGGATTGTGACTTTGGTATTTGTTGACAAACAGTTGCTTTGAGTTTCATTCGTTTTTGAATTGTAGGAATACGTCTCTTGCTTTGCCTTTACTTCTGCACCGGATCCTCCCTGTTCATCGATGATGCTTGACAGGTACGTGAGAGATTCCACATCTTCCAGAGTTTCCCCATCAAATGTGATTCGGTTAGTGTCCTCCATGTTGCATTTGAGGATTTTGGTTTTTCTTCTGTGTATGTTGAGGCCTACTGATGCAGAGGCTGCTGCTAAACTAGTTTTCTTCATCTGCATTTGTTCGTTTGTATGAGATAGGAGGGCTAGCTCATCTGCAAAGTTCAAATCGTCTAACTGATTCGGAGATATTCACTGTATGCCGTGTTTTCCCTCAGATGTCGAGATTTCCGTAATCCAGTCAATCGCCAAAGGAAAGAGGAGGGGATAGAGTAGACAGTCTTGTCTGACTCCTGTCCTTACTTGGAATGCATCTGTCAGCTATCCCCCATGCATGACTTTGCACTGTAGTCCGTCGTATGAGTTCCGGATCCTGTCGACAATCTTCTCAGTAACTCCATAGTGCCTAAAAGAAGTTTCCATAATGTTCTCCCATCTACATCGTCAGACACTTTCTCACAGTCAATGATGTTGATGTTTAGTGACGAGTACCACTCAATTGAATGTTCGACGGTTATGCATAGTGTGACAATTTGGTATGTGCACGGCCGCTCCATACGGAATTCAGTCTGTTGATCTCGAAGTTGGACGTCCACTGCGTCTTTCATCCGGTTCGGCAACACTCTGTTGAAAATCTCTACTGGTACTGACAGTACTGTGATACCTCTGTAGTCCTCACATTTGTTCAGATCTCCTTTCTTTGGTATCTTGATGAAGTGTTCTTCTTTCCAGTCTGTTGGTAATTGTTCCTCCTCTCAAATCTTCTTGAATAGAAGCATTCTTGTAGTTACTTCATTATCTCACTTCAGTGCTTCAGCTGGGATATCGTCAAATCCTGCTGCTTTCCCTATCTTGATTTGTCTGGCGAACGCTCTGATCTGTTTGATCGTTGGTGGAGTGACATCCACACGGAGGTCTGTGTGTTCTGCTTCGATGCTTGGTGGATTCAATGGAGCTGGTCTATTCAAGAGTTCCTTGAAGTATTCTGTCCATGTGTTCCTCTGTTCTTGAGTCTCCTTCATTGTGTTGCCTTCTTCGTCTTTGATCAGTCTTTCTGGTTTGCCATATATTTCTAACAGTTTCTTCGTTGCATCATATAATTGTTTCATATTCCCTTCCCTTACAGCGTTTTCCGCCGACGCTGCTAGTTCTTCAACGCATTTTTGCTTTCAGCTCTAATGCTCTTCTTAACTAGCTTGTTCGCTTCTGTGTAGTGAGTTTGTGTCTTGACCTTCTCTGCTCGTGTTTGGCTGTTGTGAATTGCTATTTTCTTTTTCTCTACTTGAATCTTGTCTAGGATTTCAATAGAGATCCGTTCCCTATGATGATGCTTCCTGAGGCCATGATCATCTTGACACGTTATAGTGCTTCTTTGATCCATTTATAATTGTCCCTTATGGTAGATTGTTCTCTCAGTAGATTCTGTATGGCTTAGAACCTACTATTGAGTTATCTTGAATTCGTTGAGTTTATTAGTATCTCGAAGAAAGGTTGAATTGGAACTTTGTAATACTGTTCACTCAATTGTCCAGTGTTTCTTTAGTTTCATTTTGACCACAACCAGATGGTGATTTGAAGCTACGTCAGCTCTTCTCCTGGTTCTTGAATCTCCCATTGTCCTTCGGAATTTTTTATTGATACAAATGGTTAGAGCACTTCGCTATGATTGACTGCAGCCTCCCATAGAACTAATCTTTATTGTCGTCTTTGCTGTCATCGGTGGGTGCATAACAATGAATGACATTCATCATCATTCTCTCCTTCTTTGTTTTGAATGACGCTTTGATGATTCTGGATCCATGAGATTCCCATACTAAGTTTTGGCTGATTATTCTTTTTGGTTGCCAACTACCAATCTTGCAAAGAAACCAAGATGACCTCAACTTCCATTGGTTCATCAGATGTTTTTCTTCCATCTCACTTCTGAGTCCACTGAAAAAACACGTCACACACCATTTTATTTATATTCGAAGCAGTAATATATCTCTATACATAAACTGATAGACGGCAAAGAACAACATATAAAAAAAATAAAACTTGTCTACAAGTTATTCACATTAAACGGAAAACAGAGTAAACGGTACATTATTAATTGACGATCATCACGGAACGGTAAGACGTATGACAATATTCAAATGATCCGAAGTAACCTCGAAATACTAGTAACACAAACCCAATTACTAATCCAACAGTCAAACAATAGAACTAATAATGTTAATCAAAATTTGAAGTTTGGACTCCTAGCGATAAGGTCTATTGAGTTCTCATTGAATAGTTTTGCACTCATATAGTAATCAGACTGTACATATGATTCAACCATTTGTATAACGTGGAGCTTCATCACATTCTTCATACATAATCTTTACAAACGTATGGTGAATAAAACGGACGTGATTAACAAGCAGCGCTTATTAACACTGACATCCGATGCCTCTTCTCATAAAACGACTTCAACCCCAAATGAACCAGAAGCCAAGAAAGGAGGGCCGTGATTACATAACTGGATTATGATTAATTCGTCGAAGTGCACATAATCCAAGTTGACTAGTTGTAGCGAGAGATGCGAAGTAAGGTGTACTCAAATATGAATCGGTGCGTATGCTTGACTAAGAGCCTTTAAATAAAGGTGTATCGGGTAAAACTAATTCGGTAAGCATGAGTATCAAATAAGCACAGAATTATTTGTCCCGGGAATTAATTTTCCACAGCAACTTAAAACAGAATTTCTAGCAAATATGTCTATTGTGTATATAATTAACCTTTTAAAAGCGTTGAAAATATGTGGGAGAAGCCAAGCCAAAATTTATAAAGATATGAAATACCAAATGAATGTCATTTCCATAAGTAACTTGATATAGTTCTTGGTGGGATATATCAACCAAGCATATATGTACACACACTAATTCCTCTATCCGGAATCAAATGTATATCCACATTTAGACTCGGTCCTAAAATTTTGTAGGTAACTTAGCATTTTAAAATTGAATATTGGACTGGCTCTTTGTCAATAAGACATTGAGTCACGATCGTTAACATATTTACCCGGGGTCCGTACTTGCTTTGAATTCTGACAGATCGTTGAGCGTTGTAGTATTTTCCTCAGGATGTGCAAGTCTTGTGCAGGATGCGTTCGCGTGCTGATGATTGTGTTTAACATCCTGTTTACAGTAAGTGCTTTTGTAGTATATTATAACAAGTAAGAAAACTTATGTTCATATTGTTTAGAACCACCAAATTTCCTTATTTTGGGGAAACCGCTATTGAAAATTTTGGTAAAATGGCTCAAAAACCCCTAAATAGGGAGTTTGGGCATTTAAAACTAGTCATGATCTAATGAACTCAGAACCTCTGTAGCCACAGTGTTTCAATTTGCAAACATATCCTAACTTAAGTTAGGAGGGTCACAATATTGCCTTTCTGGACCCTTATAATTTGTTCTGACCTCAGTGTCAACTTTTTTCTAACGTACCGGGGATATCGCATGGAATGAAAAGGTTTGGTACTAGTGTTAACTATCGTATCTAGACAAATATGGTGCTTTTTAAATTTTTTTATTTAGACTACTTACTTGCAGCTGCGCAATAGGGACTCTGCGTACATACTCGTACAAATGCATGGTACACCGAAAGTTTTACATTTACATGTACTAATATAACTAAATGTTTTGGTGTGATTGTAACCTGGAGTGATTTTGAGCGATGGTTGATTAGGCTTGAAAATATGCACCAACTTGCTAAAGCTAAAAAGGGTCGCAAATCAGTCTGAGTAATTGTGATTAGCATAAGGGACTACACCACAAACTGATGTCAGCCATAATTCACAAATGCTACTTAGCCATATGGATAAATGGATTTTCCCCAAAACCCAAGGCATGCTGTCCTTAATCACATTGGTTTGTCCATACGTTATGGTCTTATCCTTCGGGTTTCTAAGACTAATTTTCACCCAACCAATTGTTAAGTAGATCAGTTTCATCTACCAAAACGGGATACTACTGGAAGTGGGCGATATTAAAACATTTATCTACCAGAATCATATTGCTTATTTTAACAAGAGTGCATTAATAGTGTTTTATAAAAGTCCCAAGGAAAAATACCTTATGAATCATGGTTGTATTGAAAGTCACTTACAAGGTCTTGTGCGAGATATTTTGGGTCTCTCAAATTTACATGCAGACGGCGTTATGTATATCTGGATTTGAATCTAAGTTTATAATTGAAAGCTTTCGGATTGTTTTCTTTTGAGAGACTTCATTAGCATCTAGTGAATTAGGGTTTCGGGATTTCAGACCGCAATAGATCTCTAAAAGGAACTGGAAAGGCCTATTCGGTGAAAGTTCTCAATCATCTAACAGTGGTTGGTCAGCATTATCTCAAACTGACCTTAGTTATCTTAGAGTTTATGGTAAAGTTTGTGAAGAAATCCACAAGTGCTGAGGGATATTTGCTCAAGTTGCTGCCGTCTTTAAGTGCTAGCTTCGAGACTAAACCTAACTTATGAATTGTTAGCTAAGGAGTGGAAAATGTCTATCTCAATTACAGTGGGCCATGATAGCATTTCGCGAAAAGGCACTACTTCCAACCAAACTCTAGTATTTTAAAAGCCCTTAAAGTTTTGCGCTCACTCTATTTTGGCCGTCATCCCAATGATAAGCATTCTTCAGAGAAACCAAACTGCTACGATTTTTTACAAGTTCATTAAACTTTATTTCTCGAGATGTGATGGACTCGAACTATTCCCTTGCAAATAATTCATTTAGTCTATAACTGCTTCAACACACCACTAAAGGGATAAGTTAGTAATTGAAATAAGTTCGCTGTTAAGCATTCTGTGATTAACTATTAACGTAATGAACCAAAGCAATCCAATTATACTAGCTAAAACTGCTCATACCGTGGTTAATTGTATAACAGTACAGCTAAATACAACTACATCTAAATTGAAGTCAGATCTCAATGTTGAGCTTTCTACTGGCAAATTTATGCTCTCTAAAGTACTGGAGTGTATATCTAGTGATTTTGTTTTCCTGCTCTGATCAGAAGCTAGAAAGGATAAACTAAGGAAAAGACTCGTGTTTTGCCTGTTTGTTCTTGATAGCAAATTACCCTAACGTTATGTGACGCTCCGAAAATCTGTATTTCGCAAGCTAATTGTTTTCCAACTTTTCTCTGTAGATAAATAACCTAGTGAACTAGAGGGTCTGCTCAGATTTTCAGGAGCATAAGAATCTGAAGAGAAGCAAACTTGCAGAGCTTGTTAAATAGTATAGTTGAATACTTTAGCTTAAACATGTATAGTTCTTTTGTGTAAGATTATTTCATGTACATAAATGCATAGTAAACAAACCTTTTAGTATTTATGTAGAGTCTGTATTATTGTTGAATTTTTATTCTCCTTCTAGATCATAGGGATGATTGTTTTATCCGCTGCTTTGTACTTCTACTTTTCAACATTCGGGGTTAGAGGTACTGATCAGCACAATATATTGGCTTATACTTATATCGTTCTGGCTGCTATTGGGGCTCTGAGCTTTGTATTGGGAATATTAGGTTGTTGTGGCTCATATCACTATAGTCGATGTTTGTTGGGCTTTTATTTTGCTCTGTTATTGGTTATTTTCGCCATCGAAATTGCTATTGGCGTAGCTGGGTTCGTTCATAGAGAACAGGTAAGTTTAAATTTGTATTTAAATGTATATACTTTACAAAAAGTTCTGAACATCAATAATGTGGATATAGCGCATAACGGCTCGGTTATTCGGTTTGCAGTTATCAATTTGTAATCTTAACCTATTACGTACATTTCAGTTCCAGTGCTCTTTCAGTGTTGTTGATTTTACTCAGCACCTTGCGCAAATGTGTTCATAGCATTGTAGTGGTGGTATACCTAATGATAGAAATGGATTACTTATTTCTCTTGTTAAACCGAATTCTGAGCTTTAGGGGAATGATGTATTTTCTCCTATACACTAAATTTTAGCTATTGACCGTTGAGATTAACTTTATTGGTGCACACCACGTCTGATCTTTAACGTTTTACAACCATATGTTAAGTGGTTGTCTGATAACTTTAGCATTCAGTGTTATTTTGTTTAAAACAATAATTGAAGCACTTGACTTTAAGTAAATTCATCACATATTCAGGCGCCGTCCTACACACTTTCATTTGGATAGTCGAGTATTTTCATTAATCGTCATAAAGTTAGAAACTGGTGACCAAAGGAATAAAGTGATACACTAATGACAACATGGTCATCTCACAGTTTAACGGATCCGCCCCCAAATGCCCTGATACATCCGAAGGTGGATACGAAATGTGCATCCAAGGGAGTTAAAAAAAAAAACTAGGTCCAAACCAATTGTATACGTGTAGTCCAGTCGCTATCACTCAACAGCACCATTTTGGTAATATGGACGTTCCGGGCTTATTGATGATAACTCGGTACCATTTTTTTAAAACACCGAATTTGGTGGTTTGGTCGTCTGTTGCGAATCATATCCCAATGGTTTTCACATCATGCATTATTTGCCGACGCTAGGATCCAGAAGGAAAAGTCAATTTACAACATACGGCCCTTCCCTCGTTTATATCTGTACAGTATTGTTTGTGTCGCATGCTTTTTCAATACCCTGTTGTACCGGAATTTGTATATTAAATAACAAAGGGCTTCATCTCACCCCGATTGTGCTCTGTTACGTTAATTAACAGGTGCTAAATGAGTTGAATAACACCACCATTTTCAGCTTCTATTTGTCATTCAAATGACGTTCATATTTCACTGAAATATCCTATTAAGTAATTTAATGATAATACTAATGGTAATAACAGTGGGTCTGTTCAGTGTTATATATTTAGTACAATATGGAATTCTCAGTGCACAATATTCCGACAAGTTCCTATGACTTGTCTTATCACATATATATACAAAAATACGTAAATACAGTGGCATAGAAATCTTTGCAAAAACAATGAGAATGTAAATAAATGTTTCAAGAGTTTGCATTTTTGGTTAAGTCAACCCTTACAACTTGTTTGTTGTGTAATATATGTGCTAGATGTGGCATTATATATTTTGTGTGCTTTTTTGTGTGAATGTATCATATACGTTTCGTTTTTCTAGAAAATATGCAAGGACTATGAAGCAAATGGGGTGCAGGTTATGTATCTGATAAAACCAAGATTTCAACTGTCTATCGACAAACATTTTTAATGACATCAAAAGATTAACAAAATACTATACTAATTGGCTTCAGCACTCCACAACATAGTAAAATCTGAGAAATCTAGGGAAGGGTAGATTATATACACACATAATCATGCTATTAATTTATGCAACTAAACACGTAACATTGTGTGGTATAGTTATTACACAGAAAATATTTCAAATTTATTCCTTTATGTTGTATTTTTGCTTTGTGCATTTTTATTCAATACCTTACTAGGCACGTGCAATTATCCACGAAACACTTAAAGAAGGTGTTGAAGATTGGAATAATTCCAACAATGAAGTTCGATGGATGGATGCAATCCATGTTATGGTAAGATATTCTATATTTCTGTTTCCTCCCATAACATTTAAGAATAAATTGCTATGATATTTTAACATATATGGTATTGTGTGTACTTGTAAAAATGTGTTTTGACTCATAATTTCCCAACTAATCTCCATAGCTACGTGTATGACTTGGTAGTGATATGTTGTAACGCTGCTTCGCCTACTCTATATCCCGAATATTTTTGGATTGTTACTCAACGTGTTCAGAAAACTGCATTTGACGTCTTCTTCACCAATCAGAACTGTCGTTTTTATACACTAAGTCAGTCAGTCTCAAGTAGTATGTTAATCCCTAAAGTATTATTACTAAAAGTATATCTATGACAAAAAATTAAAAAAAGGGAGGTTCACTTTAGGTAACAATATATTTCCCCCTATCTTAGAAATATGTGGAACTCGAGTTGAGCATAAGTTTCTTGGCAATGAAATCAGTTTAATATTTTTAATAATCTGTTTAGGCCTTTTTTCACGTTTACATGCTACGTAGCTTGAACAAAAAACCTGGTTTTTCTACACATCGATCACAAAGACGTGTTTCATTTGTTCAGGTGTTTTGAATCGTACTGTTAGGTCGCACTTTTTGTGTTTAATTTAAATACTTCATCAGCATCGACCGAAGTACGTTCAAAGCAGATGAGTGTGATAAATATAAACGCAGAAATTAGATCTCAATTGACGATTGAACGAAGTAAATCTGAGACGTTCTGCGATTTACCTAGTATTTTTGCTATCTGAAGGGCAAGTGTAAGGCGCGATTGAGCGATTATTAAAACAATCACGAAGAATTTTAACCCACTGTAAATGAATGGTTTATGGAAAAGAACAACATTAAAAAAGCTTCACGTAATTAGTAAATCTATTAAAGTCTTCAGGTTTTCCTGTCTGTAAATTAAATTAAATAACATCCAACTTCTCAAGCCTCAAATGTAAGGAGATTTTGGGACTCAGGATGTAAGGGAAGATAAGGAGTGAACGCACTTAAGCCATTGCTAATTATTCTAAGATAAAACACTAAGGTACTTAAGTGTGAGGCGTATCCAGTCTGAAGGCCAAAAATACTACCCGGTTGCTCAAATCGAAGTAGACGATGGGGTTTTTATCTAGGACTCAATGAATGAAAGACGCCTTAACCCTTGGTTATGATAATCCCACAGATCCCTACCAGGTGGTCTGGTTAAGTATTTTATATATTTAACACTAATTTTCACTCTGACTACAAAAATAATTTTTCGTTATAACTTTAAAAGTTCTGATCGTCACACAAAAGTATTTCTCCTACTCGTGTTACGCTATATATGGCAGAATTCATTCATTTTTGAAATTTTGCCTAAAACTTAAAGTTTGTATTCCCAATTCTAATTGGTTTGCCCCTTGCACTATCATTTTATCATGTGAAGTTACCAAAGGAAGAGAAATCACATTTGTTACCTTTATAACTAACCAATCCACTTGAGTATCTGACTGCGATTTTTTTCCCAAGAATATGTACTTATGGAGTTGTATATGTTAAAAAATATCAGAATATGTATGTATGCTTGAATTTTTCTGTCTAGTTCCAATGTTGCGGTTACAATGGACCTACAGACTATGGTATTGCTAAGGTCCCTTCTTGTTGTTTAAATGATCAATGTGCTATGGATTTCGCTTTGCTCAGTTTTCAGACGGTAAGTAAGCATTAGTCGTCTAGCTCTATAAATTTCAGAATATTTCATTTATTTTTATAAAATTCATACATTTTGTATCTATAAATATGTGTCATTATGTAGAATGATTTAACAATATACATCATATGCACATCTTAAACTATATTTGTTAAACAGACGACCAGTCTCAGGATACATATATTCATATATCCATCCACTCTGGACATGCATTTTATTTTTCTTAGTGTGTCGTTGGTTTAATGTAGAAAATCCACCCAAAATTTTCACTTGCCATTATCCATTTGTTTGTTTTGTGAAATCTTCCAAATATTAGCAACGAATAGTTGACCTATTGATAATGCAACACGTTTATTCTAATCAGTTTTCAGTTATCGTAGATAAAATACACCTCAGATATCGTGTGCCTTCCTGAATAGGAGGTGTATTAAAATGACCTCAGCCTGCTTGTTGACATGTTAATTAATAGTGTCTAAGAATGGGCAAGTCCCCCATTAAACCCTTGAACTTCTAACCATTCTTTCATCTTTCCGTTTTGAATGGTTTGTGTTTGAAGTGACTTAGCGATTAACGTAGTCGGTTTTCAATTGGTGCACCACAACAGTTGATACTTTATTTCGAGTACTTGAGTCTGACCAACTGGGTATTTGTATTTGTAGTCCTCACATAAAACCAGTGTTGTCCGGAAGTCGAGTATACTTAAACTTGTAATGGAAAAATGAATCCCTTTTATTATCATGATTATTGATTCAGATTTTATTTACAGCCAAATGATCTGTTCTTTTTGTTTAATCTCTAGGGTTGTAAAGAAAGAATTGACAATATTATGCATAATTTCCTAATCATATGTATCTCGGTTATTACAATAGCCCTCATTGAGGTAAGTTTCATGTAAAAAAAGCGTGTGTCTGTGTATATGACTGACTTAATAAGCATTATATTAATAAATATGTTTTTTGTAATATCACAGTGAGTAGAAAATTGTATTTCTGATGTTTCGTGACCTTGATGTAAGCCTCTTCGTGAGAGTAAGTAGTTATTTACCATTGATACCTGCAAACTCATTAATAATCGAATCAAATAAGTGCTCCGCATCGACTGCTGAAAATGTAACTAATGTTTGGTGGACAGTATGGTTATTAAATTTCAATATAACCTTAACAAATAAATTGGTGAATAGACCGACTAACGATCCGCTAGGCGGACTCCGGTTAGTTGGCAGTGGTCGAAAAACTGTACATCCGAATAAGACGATGGGTGTTAACTCGAAAGGTATTCAACTAACTGCGTACACATATAGGCCACGATGCACAATAGAATAGTGAATACCATAATTAATAAAAATAAGGCATTCAGGGTAAAAGTCAGAATACTGTGCTCATGATTAAATTATAATAGTTTAGGATTAGACGAATAAAGGAAACCCATAATCCAACTGTTTATAATTACAGATAAAAAACTAGGAGTAATAATAAGCAAAGATGAATGGTGGCTAGCAGTGAAATCCAGGACACGCGTTTCATCCCATTTGGGACTCATCAGTTAGATGTACCTGTATCCCAGTGTTGATGTTTACTCTAGGACTCATACCGTGTACCATTCGCTTCAAACGCCATCGCAACTTATGGTAATCCTCTTAGGAGATTGATCAATTGCAGTTATAAGCATCAATAGGAAGATTCAACACATCAAATACAAAAAGTAATTAAGAGTAATAATATCTTGAAAGTAGGTTATCTAGTTTGTCACATTCCTTTCATTTTCCTAGGTATAACGGTTTGGTTAACTAAATAATTATAACTAACATCCACATCACGCTTGTTTTTCTTTTCAAAATCTCCGTCTAGCTAATTGGTTTGATATTTGCAATGACTCTTTGTTGTGCTGTGAATGGTCGTGATCCAAACGCTTATTATCGTGCAGTACAAACAGCATAAATTGATTTTTTTTAAAAACACTCGACCAACCTAACCAATAATTGAAATTTTCTAAACATACAATTCTCCTATATGTTTCTCTTCACGAACCTATTCATTATGATTATATAATTCCAACTTTGTATTGTTCATCTATTTCAGAAATAGCAATGAATAATGTAATTTAGTTATGTTCATTTCTACACATACATATTTACAATAATCATTCAATCATTTCATATGAGTTGCCTTTTTCTATTGTGTATCTGAGCGAGAGATTTTTCCTCTTTCTCTCTTTCACCTTCGAATGAGCAATTTCATTTTCACACAATCTTTAATTAATCCTGTCATACAACACAGTGGTACTCTGTGTGTGTGTGTTTATTCATAGTTACACTTCTCTTCTTTTTTTCTCTCATTGTCACCATCATCTTCGTTATTTTTATTAAATACATCTGAGGAGTACTTCACGAATGACACAAAGAAGTGAAATTGCGAAATTTAACACACACACAACACCTATGTTTGTATCGTAATAAAAATACATTTGTTATACTGAGTTTTTTAAAGAAGAAATCTGCCCAATTTTTACATTCTTCTCTTAGATTCTGTATCAGTTTCTCATGTTCCATGAAAAGTTGTTAGAATTTTTAAAAAAATCTTCCCTAACGGTCATTTCTTTTTCTTCGAGTACTGTGTATGTGTGCGAGAGAGAGAGAATATACTATTACCAGGTAGATATGTTTATTCTTTAAGAAATGATTATTACTAATATTCCATCATTGTGTAGATAAACATTTATGTGTAATTCACCATTGTCTTATACTTCTTTAACCGGTTATTTTGATCATTTCATCATTCATGTCATCCTTTATAGTATAAATACATCTATCAATCAACAATTTCACCATTGTGGTGTGTGTAAGTGTTATGTCATTTGTTATGTTGTTGCTTTTTTAAATATTCATGTGTGTATTTTTGTAATTTATAAAAATGAATTTTGTTCCATTTTTATAAACTTTTCAAGTACATAATAATAACATCCAATTTGTTTTACACACTTGTCTTGATCATTTATCACATGGATATTAAAATAATGATCTAATGGGAATATATTTATTCATCTTTTGAATGATGAATTCGTCGTTGGAATAGATCTAATCATTCTGTGTTTGTTCATCGTTGTATTACTACATAGATATATGTATTTGTTAATTTTGCTTCAATGATGATAATGTGTCTCATTCTAGTATTCTGCGTACACATATATTAAATAAGATGGTCTTTTTAAAAAAAAATATTGTTCATCAATTACCATCTCAAAATATACAACAAATTGCATACAGTGTACATTTGTTTTTTTTAAAATTGTTTGTTTGGTTTTTTTTATATCCAATGCTGTGTGATGTAATACAAATCGGAGTGTGTGTGGCTCTAAGCAAATGGGGTCAGTCAGCTAAAACGTAGGAACATATGTGCATCGGTCTAAGTTGCCATATCTCATTAACACAACAAAGATGGACACTGGATTCATAAAAGTAGTTAATGCAGAGGTGGTAATATATAAAATAAAGATTGCAATAAGAATATAGTACAGGAAGTAAGAATTAGTTGGTAGAAGGAAAAATATGAAGCGATTTTAATTCCATAGTTTAAAGGAAGACAGAGTGTATACACCTACGTCATTGTGATCGATTCTGAGTCATATCACACAGAGTCTTCAACCATTGGTTACGATAGTCACGCGGACCTCAACCGAGTAGTCTGCATCTACCAACATGGCTCAGACCAGAAGTGAGTGACTTTGTGGACTGATGCCACCTTTTGGTTTGATCACCTCTAACTTTCTTCCAACCATCCCCAACACTTGTCAGCATTGCACGTGTGTAATCGGAGTTCATATATAAGTAACACGTGGCCTAACCATCTCAGTCGATGAAGATTCACAACCTCATCAACTGATTTACCATCATTCCCTAATACCCTGCTTCAAACGTCACTATTACTTACCCGATGATCCCAGCAGATGTCAGCAATATTTCTAAGGTATGTGTGGTAAAATACTAGTAGCTTACGAATATCTTGTACCCTTAATGGCGACGTTTCGCAGCCGTAAAGTAAAACAACGAACTGCTGCACAGTATAGTCGTCCCTTAATTGACAGATGGATATCTCGCCTTCTCCATAAGTGACGTAAGTTGGCAAAAGCCAAACGAGCTTTTCGAATCCATGCTAAGATCTCGTCAAACAACAACCCATTAAAGCTTATCACACTTCCAAGATAAGTGAAGTTGTTGATGCGTTCGACTACTTCACTCCCTATCCTTAGTTCGGGTATTGACGCAGGCCAGTCCAGAAGCAACGACTTAGATTTAGAGGGAGAGAAGCGCATTCCAAACATTCTGGCATTGTTACTCGGTGCTTATGAGGTGGGCAGTAATTTATTATCAGAATGGGTTTTTATGGAGATTCTAGTAATTTTATGGTTGGATCCAAGAATCGATTGAAGCTAAACAACCATAGAAGACCTGGAAGCACTGGACAGTTGTTTCGTCCCAGTAGTGTTAGTGCTTTTCCCATGGTGGTGAGCAACCTATGCTCCTCCATATGGGGTGACAAGCATAAGCAAACTTTTCTCATTTAAAAACATTTGTTGTTCTTCCTTACAATACAAATGCTGATAATTCAAGTTTCAAATTCGTGATTACATTTTGGAGATTACATCATTTTATGCACTCTGCATTTTCGCTTTGCAGAAAATACATATAAAATTTTGAAATCCTTAAACTATCAATTTGTGTTTGGAACAGTTTTGTCAGTTGGAATTTATTGATATGATAATTATTTTTTTATGCATCAACTTATCAAACGAGTCAATGGTGTGTAACGGAAATCTTGATCATGTTGCGATGAGATATTACATATATATGAAGATGTTTTGAAGAGTATCATTTAGACACTTCTGTCGTCAGTAGTACATTGTTGTGATTTAAATAGAGTCAGCTTTTAACCGAAAGGTTGATGGTTCGTGCCCACCCGGAGGCGCTCCCCACTTTGCCCCCCCCAAATGCCCAGGTACGGTCAAGAGTGGGGAGAGTCCTCTCTCGAAATGCTCTCACATGGCCACGCGTATATAGCCTCTGCTAGGGAAGTCCTACTCACTGCCTTCTCGTTGCGGGGGTGTTGTTTACGAAAATGAGAGGACGAAAAGCGAATGTCCGGTGCTTTAACCGGATTCCGAACCAATGGTGCACATGGGCCCCAGTATCCTGCGGGAACAAATGGCGTATGAACCAATTGTTGGTCACCGGCTACCATGGGACTGCATCTCCTTACGATGCTCCTCTGCCTTGTGGATCAGACCATTGGGTCGAAGGCTCGGGGTGTGGCCCCCTAAGAAAACCACCTGCTTCGGTCTGGGCACCCGAGCAGTATCACAGCCCTCACACATATCGAATTAGATTTGTGTGGTGCATATGTATTTGGTGCCTCTTTGTACCAATATCTATGTGTTGAAATAAACAAATAAATAAGCTAGTCTACAAAGAACTCGTGGTTCCTTATTCGATGTTAACCACTACTTAGTTAAGTTAGAAATTTCAGTAGAGATGTCTGTCTTGCTAAAATGAAGATAAGCAAAATTAATAGGACATTTTTACATTCAACAGTACAGGTGTACAAGATAAAATCAATTTAGTTTATTTGTAATTTTAGAATTGTAGATTTGGGAGCAAATTAATCACATTCTAAATTTTGGAATTGTATAGTTTGCATTGTGTTACTCCTACTCAGTCATCTACTTGAATTCTCATATATAATTATAGAATGGTATGGCAGTTCAGTGTTTAAGGCGTTTAGCTTTAAGCCACTTAATTGCAGTCACGAAATCCTCTTCATCTACTTTGATCTGAACAACTAGGTTAGTTTTACTAGCCACCCTAACACTTAGAGTATAACTCAAAACCAAATGCACCAATTTGCACCTCTGATGAGTTAACTCAACAATAAATATTAGTGATAGGTTTATAAACATCGCTACAGAAAGAAAGCTCAATTAGTTATGTTGCTACAAGACTTGAAAGTGGTGAGTTCGGTTCTTGGGGTCATCATGGATTCAAACTGCTGAGTAGTCCCATATAATCCCTAAACAAAACTGTCCAGTGCTATTATAAAATCAAATTGTGATTTAGCATTTATAACAAATTATTTCTCACCCATCTAAGGAATGCTTATTTTCTTTTCCAAAACTCTTTGTCAAATGTTAGAGTTTTGATTCACTTGGTGTTGTTTTACGTGTATCTTCCCATTGTTATTTAGATCTGCAATCGATCAGTCTCATGTTGGCATATGTGCATCCTATGAGGATTCCCTCGATATTGCCTTAAGTCACAAGCTTTTTAAGCAAAGATGGATAGTGGCTAATGGTGGAATCCAGGACGCGCGTTTCGTCCTATTTAAACTTCACCCCATTGCATAAGCAGGTGGCTATTAGGACTCAGTCGCTAAATGGATAACGCGATGATGTTTTAAGCGAACGGTGCTGGGTTCTAGTCCCAGAGTGAACATCAGCTGTGGGATGCATGTACACCCAGCTGACGAGTCCTAGAAAGGACGAAACACGTGTCCTGGATTCTGCTGCTAGCCAGTATTCATCTTTGTTTATTAGAGTTTTGACTGGTGATATGTTGTTTTACTGTTTAGCAAGTTACCTATACTATAATTTCTTAACATACTGCTTTAAGTGTATATTCTGAAAACAACAAATAATATTTAATGAGTTCAACCTGTTAGTGAACTGTTTGCGCATACAAAACTAATAAGACTAAAAGAAAGTGGTTAATTGTAACGATGGTAGAAATGATAATAAACAAAATGATTTCGCTGTTGATATATAAGTCGTTAAAACTTCTTGGATTACATGCCATAGAACAAAATTACTTTATCTTTCTAGAATGTCAATATGCTAATAACTAAACTATTGAGTTCGAATAGGCTTACTGACTTATTTATCAGATATAAAA